ACACACACACACACACACACACACACACACACTAAAACAAAAGCTCAGGGAGATGAAATCCTTCATCCCTCTCCCATCCCTGTAATAAGTATCTTTCTACAGCTTTAACTTCCTTCAGAGCAGGTTTTGGGATGCAACTTTTGGGGTTTTCTGTGGGGTTTTTAGCCAAGAACACCTCCAGTGATGTCCCTTACCTCGGTGGCAGCTCTTCACACCCCGTTCTTGGGAAGAAGAGGGGAAATTGGGTTCCTTGCAATAACCCTGGGCATTGATATCCTTCCCCACCTCACCCCTGAGAAAGGACCAAGCCCCTCCTTGCTCAAATTCAGCTCTCCAGAACACAGCTCCAACACACTCCTTCCCTTTTCCTGTTCTTTCTGTGGAGAACACCTTCACCAGGGTGGCCAATATCAACCCCAAAAACCCCTTTTACACCAGGGCAGCCACTGGCTCTGCAAAACCTTGGCCATCTCCACGAGCTGCTCCACCTGGATTGGTTTCCTGGATCCATCCCCTGGGACTGGGGAGGGTTTTTTTTAGGAAAAAACATGCGATTTTCAGCTACTACAAACTAACTTTGGAGGAGGGTGAGGGCATGGCCCACCCTCCTGGCACCACTTTATGTCCTACAGGCAGAACTTCTGCACATATGGGTTATTTTATGGTGCAAAAACAACTGTTCCACCACCCAGAGAAGACACACACACCATGCAGGGTGTCTCTGAGGGCAGCAAGACCCCCAGATCAGCTTTCCCAGTGCCTGCCCAAAGCTTTTTGGAGCCTTTATGAACACCTCTGCTGGGAATCTCGTTCCCTTCCACCCAGACAGCAGCTGCCCTTCCCCAAGGATGAGAGACCAGAAAGCTTTGGGGCATCCCTCCAGTTTTCCAACTGTTATCAACCACAGCTGGAGATCAACGGGAGAGGGAAGCAAGGGAAAACTGCTTAGTGGGAGTGGTTTCATAGAATCCCAGGATCATTAAGGTTGGAAAAGACCTCTGAGATCATCAAGTCCAACCATTCCCCCAGGTCCACCACTAACCCATGTCCCTGAGTGCCACATCCCCATGGTTTTTTTTGGGAGCAAGAGCTGTCTTTTCACGTAGAAAAAGAGAAATTCTGCCTTTTTTTGCTGGGGGCTGGTGGTTCAAAAGTAATTGGAAGACGAGCCTTAATTAAACAGTTTGTCCAGGTCTGCAAACCAATAACTCACAGCTTTCTGAACCACCAAACAGCAATTAGTGGGAGGACTCCTGATGTCCTGGCACATAACGAAGCATGACGGAACACAAATAAAATAGGAGCTGGAGAATTAATTGCAGGCTAAACAAATTAATTATGGGTCCTCAATCAATGCCAACACAAACGTAACCTCTTCCTCCTCACACCTTGGGATGAAAATAGACCAACCCGGCAGCAAAGATTCCCTGTGTGTGTGTCTTTGACTCAAACCCTGCCTTGGAGCTGCCTCCCGGGGCTTGGACTCACCCCAAGTGCCCTCCTGGTTATAAAAACCCAGGGAAAACTGAAACCCTCTAAAATATATCCCAGGAAAATCATCATAATAACGTCAACAGATCCTCTGTGTACAAGGAAAGGGCTCAGGAATAAGATGGAGTGTGACACCCAGACCACAATCCCCGTCACCCCCTGCTCTGCAGACAGAGCAAGCAGCAGTTTTTCTGGAAGAAAAGGGGGGAAAAAAACCCCAGTTACTCAGGAACTGAAGTCTGGAGGGTCAGGGCAAGCATGTCAATATTAAAAAAGGAGCAGCAGGACCAGAAAGCAACAGTTAAAGGGGCTCAGGTAAAGGGGCTGAGCATCCTCGAGTGAAGCTCCGAGGACGAGGCACTTGCACAGCAAAGGGAAAAGCTTAAAGGAAAGTTCTGCATTAAATGGCTGAAAAGGGACCTGGAACAGAGAGTAGAACCCCCTTTTGTTTAATCATTTCCCCCATTCTTGGGCAATTTTTGCACCATCTTTATAAATAAAAGTTTCCCTAAAGCCACTGGTGATTTTTCATGGCTAAAATAACTCATCATTTGCTCAAGGTTGTTACCAGAGGCTCCAGCAAAAGCTGAGTCCAGCCTGTCCCTTCCCTCACTCAGCAAACAGTCAATAAAATGCTGGTAATATGCTCCAAAAAGCCTTAATTCTTCACACACTTCAGTCTGTTTTTAATCAGTGGCTCTCACAAATCTGTATATTCAGAGTAGAACCATTTAATTGCATTTTATTGTAAAACAACCATAATGCCACTGCTTATTTGAAGATCTGATTTGACGTGATTCAAACCAGATCTCGCAAATTAAGTGCCCTCAGATTTGAATGGACAAGGACCAGCCAACACTGGTCATTTTTTAAGCTGCTTGAGAGTGGAAAGTGCAGCTGAAAAGCCTCGTGAGCTGCCCCCACCGGCAGCTTGGTACCATTTTCCTGCCAAAAAGCTGCTTTGCACCATCTCACCACTGTCTGCACCAACTCAGGGACCCACCACTGAGGGGCCACGAGCAGGAAGGCAGGAATTAGGTGTCCATCCCAGTGGCTTGTGGCCACCAGCAGGTTTACAGCCAACACTTTGAACATAAAGGAAAGGTGTTATTTCTTACCGACAGCAGGGAACGGCACAAACCTCTGGATCAGGAGACGAGTGGCCGGGGTAAACTTGTTTGCTCTCTGAATCAGAACATTAAGGCCCACCTTGGAATGGAAAAAAAAACAACAAACCAGAGATGCAGAGACAGTTCATTACAAGGAGCAGGGCAGATGTCACAGCTTGCAGACACTTTGGGGTCTCACCCCACACAGAAGTGTTTGAGAACCAAACCCCACACACACTGCGGGGTTTCGCTGTGTTGGGTTCAACCCCTTATCCAACAAAGGGTTAAATCCAACTGTTGAGCTTCAATGAAGGGTTGATGCCAACTGTTTGGTTTACAGAGAGGGCTGAACCCAACTGCTGGGCTTAAATGAAAGGCTGAACCCAAGTGTTGGGTTTATATGAAGGGCTAAACCCAAGTGTTGGGTTTATATGTACTGTTGAACTCAACTGTTGGATTGAACCCTACCATTGGGTTTAAATTAGGGATTGGACACAACCATTGGGTTTAAATTAAGGACTGAACCCAACTGTTCGGTTTATATGAAGGGTTGAACCCAACTGTTGGGTTTGTATGAAGTTTTGGACCCAACCATTGGGTTGAACCCAACCATTAGGTTTAAATGAAGGGTTGAACCCAAGTGTTGGGCTTAAATGAAAGGTTGAACCCAAGTGTTGGGTTTAAATTAAAGGTTGAACCCAAGTGTTGGGCTTAAATGAAAGGTTGAACCCAAGTGTTGGGTTTAAATTAAAGGTTGAACCCAAGTGTTGGGCTTAAATGAAAGGTTGA